CGACGCCTCTGCCTCTTTCCCACCCCACCAAATGGACACTTACTGGAAAACATTTTCCGGATTATCCATGGCGAGCTGACGCCCGGCGGCTGCAGCCTCACCGGAGCAGCCACCGCCGATTCGAATATTCCGCGCAGCTGCAGTCGCAGCGCCGAGCGTTTTCGGGGCTCCTGCCATTGGCCTTGGCCACAGACGGACTGGCCAATCGCCGGGGCCGTTGCCGAGAGACCAAGTCCCGCCTTCGCTTGCCGCGCCGGAAGCTCCTCCCACTTCCTGTAGCCTCAGATTAAAGCGGAAGCTGGCGGCAGCCTGAGCGAAGCTTGGAAGTCTGTCTGCAGTGGCCGTCTCTTGTCGCTGTCTTGACTCGGGCTTAGGAAGTTGAGTTTTTGTTGTTGTCTTTAGCTGTTCAAATTCTAAGTGACATACGTAATGACACGATTTAGCCGTCATCTCAGGCTAGGCATTGTAGGAGAGAAGGGTCCAACTCCAGGCTCCTGAGACCAAGTCTCTCCGCTGGGTACCCACTGCTTAAATATATAAACGAGAGTTACGTCTGGTTCACAGAACGAAGAAAACTCAGCCCGTTTGTGGCGTTGAGACTGTCGTTGTCTAAAGCCAAAGAGGATGAGAGAACCCTGGCTTACAGAGCTTGGAAGATAGGCAGGTGTGAAGGAAAATGGTAGTTTCTATTGGTTGTCCTCAGCTGTAGGAGAACCCAGGTTCTGGAGCCCATAACGTCAGTCTTTTTCTAAATTTAGAATTTTCTCCCCTCTTTTTGTGTTCTCTGGGCATTCTCTGGCCCAGTGTCCCTTCTTTCCATATGTTCTACATTGGTCTCTAGCCGGCATGTCTTTTTTTTTTTTCTTTCCCTTTCCACTATTTTTATGTGTGCTTTTTTTCTTATTAACTTCTCCCATAGTAGCTGCTACAACCTTAGCAATTTTATTAACTTGTTTGTCTTCTATAGAATCTTGCCCGTTGTAAACTTTTTGGGCAATTTCTGATAGTTGTGTCCTATTCATGCCCTCGAACCCCTCTAACCACGGGAGCTTTCTTCTAATGTCTGCAGCAGGTTGGGACACTAAGGCCACATTAATTGCCATTTGATTCTCTCGAGCACCAGGATCTATGGGCGTATATTCTCCATAAGCCTCGCATCAGTGCTCTAAGAAGGCTGCGGGAGACTCCTGAGGGCCTTGCCTTATTCTGGTTACCTTTGACAAATGTGTGGATTTTCGGGCTGCTGCTTTAACTCCAGTCAATAAATTACTGCGAAATGTGGCTAATGCCTCTCTCCCAGCGTTAGTGTTGGGATTCCAATTAGGATGTAGCAGGAAAAAGTTTACTTAGCCTATCTTGGTCATCTTCTAAAGTTCTTCCCCCATCTTTAACACGGCTTTTCTAGCTTCTCCCTTTATCCTTTTTCTCTCCTCAGCAGTGAAGAGTAGCTAACAGTTGCCGACAGTTATCTCAAGTTAGCTGATGTGTGTAAAAGACTGACTCCAGCAAGTCAATGAGAGCCTGAGGCTTTCTCAGAGAAGGGTGGGTTCTGAGCCCTCCAACTATACAGGTCACTGGTAGAAAAGGGGACATATACAAGATATGAGTGACCTCTTGGGTCACCATCTGTCAGAGGTGCCTCCCTTAAGGGTAACAGGGCTTCTGAGGAATCGGGGCTTCAGTCCTTCCTTTCCTCCCTAGACCTAGGAGGCAGGGGTGTCGAGGAGTCAGGGCTCCGGTCCCTTCTCATCTCCCTAGACCTGCTCCAGGTGTAGGGTGGGAAGAGGGGGACTGAGATGACTGCCTCCTTTGGCTCCTCCTCATTTTCCTTGAGTTGCCATCTATGTGGGTTATAAGGGGGAGGCAGGTCTGACTCCTCTGGATCGGATTGTAAGACAGCAGGTTTTTGTTCTTTTTGAGGCCCTCCTAATGGGCCGATTACAAGGACACAATTCCCAGTTTTTAAGGCACTGCTTCTTAACCAGGATAGGGGTCTTTGAACTAAAGTCAACCATTGGTCAACAAACGGATATTGGTCAGTATGGCCTGGTCCTCCTGCTGCACCTGTGACAACTTTCCAACTGGCTTGTACCTTTTCATTATCAAAGGACCCTGTGTCAGGCCACCCCACTCCAGAAGTGGGCCATTCAACTTCACATAGGGTTCTCAACCTCTGAAAGCTTGCTACCATAATCACATCCTTCTATAAAGGCCTCATCAAAGAGGTATAGCATGCAGCTAAGGGGAGTCTTAAGAGAGCTATTTTTGCCTCTCATACTTTTTAGAATTAAGACAAGAAAGGAAACAAACATTTTGACTTCATCAGAATGGAACACTTGAGGAACCCCTTGATACTACCGTGAGGTTAATAATCTATTGTTCTATGTTCTCCACTGAAGGGGATAAGAGATAGAATGAAGAAATATTTCCCAAAAGGTTCCTAAGGAAATAAGCAAATTGACAGTAAAAGCAGTAGAAACCCATAGAATCCCTAAGACCCCTGTTAAGGGCCTCTAGCCTGAGTTTTCCCAAACTGTCTAAGAGCACTCCACCCCTGGGTTCCAAGCATGTCTGGTGGAACCTGAGTAAGTGCTCTATAACCGTGTCTGGTTAGCCCTGAGTCCCAACCACCTGCAGAGAAGGGTTTATGGCCCTTGTCCCAGGTCAGACTTCAGGGGGCTCCTCCCTTGGCCAACCCCTTACTCGCTGGTTTGTCTTCTCTGAAGCAAAGAGGACAGGACAGGAACACCCAAGGAAAGGCCTCCAGAGGTCTTACAGCAAAAGGAACTCCACAAACTTTCTTGGAGGAGCAGTCAGCATCTCTTGTCAGCTGTCAGCAATCCTGAGTAGAGCTCCAGGGCCCTGGGAAGTCCCAGGTGGCGCCTTCCCTGCCAGGGTCCAGCCTTGGCGGGGGTGGGTTGACTTGTTGGAGGTGACACTGGAAAGGAAGACTAAGGTCTCGGTGCCTTTTCATGCACATCCTCAGCCGGACACTCCCAGAGATTGCTCTCTGAGGAGTGACAACTGTTAGGAATCATTGTGCCTTTTTATTGAAAATGCGATACATGCAAGTAAATGGGAGAGGGGCTACGTGTTCTAATTATCAATTCATAAAGTTTTAACAATAGAAACCATTCAGGGTTTGATTAAGGGCAGGTCTATTAATCATCTATACAGTTCAACAATTGTTTGATTGATGAAAGCAGGTTCCTGGTAACTTCAAGCAGTGCAGTTTCAGGAAACAATTCCAGCAAGCAGAGTTAACTATCAACCGATGTTCAGCAGCAGCCATCTTATGATTACTAAAAGAAAATCTCAAGTATAGATATTAGTTCTTATGGATTTTCATAAAGAATGATACTTGTATAATTCTATAGAGATCTAAAACTTAAGGAATCCTAATATATTTACCTATCCTGAAGGGGTGAAGTTATTATTCATTTGGTGAGGGCGGAGACAGTTTTTTCAACTGGCGGTAAAGTGACTGATAAGTAAATGAAAAACTTTAAAATGGGTTTATGGTGGTGTGGGTACACTTGTGTAGCCTATGGCACCACTGTTCATGTATTTTGTTAGAACATTAGTTACCATGGGATGAGAGCGTCCTGGGCCAGTTTCAGCCTAGTCCTATTGTATGTAAAAAGGTTATTTATATCAAATATGTCTTGAAGGACCTTCCAAAGATCAAGAAGAACTTTAGCACACCCTTTATTGTGCCCAATGAAGCACTGTAATTAACAGTAAGTGATCAGGGTAAAGGGGAGAGGTCGGGGGACTTTTGGGAAATCTTACCCCACAGATGTATGAGAGAACTATATAATTCTTTTATAGTAGTATATCGGGGAGTCAGAGGGGAGTCACTTCCCAGCAAGGCTACCACAGTCCCGGAGCGAATAGCAAGCAGCCTTGCCAACATGCTAATTGACCCAAGCTTGTTCCAAGGTGGGGGGTGTACAGTAGCGGCCTTGTCAACGTACTGAACCAACAGGAAGCTGTGCTCAAAGGTGAAAGGGCTCAGACGGGTCCTGGAGCCCCGCCGGGTCAGACTCCTCCACTTCCCTAGAGCAGTCTCTGGGTAGCTGGCAGCTGGGCCAAGCAAGGCTGCTCTCCCTAGGATGCCTTACCCACATACTAGACAGATGTGGATCTTGCTGGGGCCTCCAAATGTTATAGTCCACTCAGCAAGAAATAAGAGGACATTCAGACAAAGCCAAATTTATTGGAGTTTAATCGATGAAGCCGGCAGCATACGGGGGGGGGACTCATGACTCTAAAAACCCCATAGCCCCGAGTGAAAGGAGAAAACTTATATAGGCCAAAAATGCACGGATGTTTTACAAGGGCAAAGGAACAAAGTAAAGGGGCTTCAGGAGGGATGGAGGTAGGGTTTTCTATCTTCAAAGCAAAAAAGCCAGTTACAGAAGCAGGTTAATTAGTCTTGAGGGTAAATTCTGATTACAATGGGATTTGAATGGCTTCTCTGGTTCTGGTCAAGGTTCTTGAGGCACCTGGGAGTGGGGCTTTGGATCTTATCTGTACTCATGGGGAGGGGGTGAAGGAGTCACACTTGTTTCATTCCCCACTTCTCTTGGAGGCGCTCCTCCAAGATGGGGTCATGCCTGCTTCAATGACACATATCATGTTAAGATAATGGTTAGTACCCTTGCAGAATTTGGGGCTGGATTAACTGATCTAAAAGGCTATGTGTGGGTGCCCTGGAACACATGAAAGTTAAAGGGACTGGGGCTATTCCTACCTCTAACTGGTAATTAAAATAAGAGCAGAAGAGTTTGGGTAGATTATAGATTATCATCCAGGAATTAAAAAAAAATTTTTTTTGAGAGGTTTTTACTATAGGGTGCGTGTGCTCACCAGACAGACAGACAGAGACAGAGAGACAAAAAGTGAGAAATCCCCCCCAGGGGGCATGGCCACACCGCAATCCCTTCTCCTCCATTCTCCTCTCGGGATCTTGGGCACGTACGCACACACGCCCGGCATGAGTTTTAAGCCACTGGGTCTGGGATGCAAACCGCGGTCAAATATAAGGAAATGCTTCTGGAGGTCTTACAGCAAAAGAAACTCCAGTGACATAGCCATTATGCTAACTGCTGGTCCCCCTTCCAGGAAGT